ATTAAAATTAATAAAAAAAATTATAAAATGAAAAAATTGAGAAAAAAATTAAAAAGAACAAATAGTATAGAGTTTACACACATAGATACATGTCTCCTTAGTAACATCTTACATTTGGGTTTGGTGCAATTAATGAGCTAATATCGATACAGTATCATTAACTAAAGTCCAATGTTTATTAGGATTTCCTCAGTTTTTACCTAGTGCCCCTTTTCCATCCCAGGATCTCATGTTGTATTTCATTCTCTTGTCTCCTTAAGCTTCTCTTGGTTTTATTTTAGTGGTCTCTCACACTTTCCTTGTTTGTGATGAGTTTGACAGTTTATGTGGTACACATGCCATGTGTTTAGCCTCCCTATTGGGATTGATTTGATATTTTTCACATGATGAGTGTGTGGTTATGAGTTTTTGGGACAAAGACCACGGAGGGAAAGTTCTATCCTCATCACATCTTATCGAAAAGTATATACTATTAACAAGACATATGAAGGATAATGCTGACCCTCACCCCCTGGCTCATTAGTGTTGGTTAGGTTTTCCCAATGTCAAGTTACCCTTTTCCCTTTCCGATACTGCACTCTTTGGAAGGAAGCCTCTATGTGTAGCTCTTAGGAAGTAGGGAGTTGTGCTCCACCTCATTCGGTAGTCGGAGTTCTTCTATCTAGGTATTTTTATGAACATGAGAGTGGCCTGCCTTCCACTTTAAATGACGTGGGCAGGAAGACAACAGTCATAGTGTGAAGGTGTGGCGAGGCCACTGCTGAGGTCTCTGTGCCGAGGATGGCATCTTGTGTGGTGTGCCTGGGCAAGTAAGGTTAGAGAGGGGCTCAGGACCTGGCTTGAGGAAGCCCACAGGACAGGCCATGGTTAGGATGTGGGAGATGAAGGACAGGCATAAAAGATATCTCAATTTTCAACCTGAACAAATTTACAGGAAGGGGATATTTCTAGAAGGGGGAAGAGAAGAGCAAATTCAAGAGCCTGACAGATACACAGGTAGACCTGGATTTCCCCAACACCCTTAAACAGGGACCTGTGAACAAGTAGATGCAGCCATGAATGCAAGGCCCCAAAAGGTGGTAAGAGGGTTGTGGAACCCAAGATGGCTGTCTCTAGAAAACAATCTCAAAAAATTAAGTGACTGAAATCATGACTGACCAAGGCAGTGGCAAGAAAAGGGGCTTTTAACTTTTGATGATCATGACTCTGTAGATAAAATCGTTATTCCAAAATACCACACCATGAATGGTCACAACTGTGTGAGGCGTCAAAGCAAGAGATGGCCAGTGCCTCTTCCAGCCAAAGAGGCCCAAATGGTTCTGGAAACTGGCGGTGGCCATGGATGGAAGTGGTTTTGGTGGGAATGACAACCTTAGGTGAGGAGGAAACTTCAGTGGACGAGGTGGCTTAGGCGGCAGTCGTGATGTGGAGGACATGGAGGCAGTGGAGATGGTTATAACGGATTTGTGGGTTTTGTTTTTTTTTTTTACGAATGAGGCAATTTATTAACCCAGCATCATGATGGAAGCAACTTAGAGGTGGTGAAGCTATGATGATTTTGGTAATGACAATAATCAGTCTTTAAATTTTGGACCCATGAAGGAAAGAAACTTTAGGGGTGGAAGCTCTGGCTCTTATGGTGGTGGAGGTATTTTGCCAAACCACAAAATCAAGGTGGCTATGGTTGTTCAAACTGCAGCAGTAGCTATGACAGTGGAAGACAATTTTCGCAAAGTTTAGCAGGAAAGGAGAGTCAGAGAAGTGACAAGGAAGCTACAGGTTACAGATCTGTAAACTCAGCCAGGCACTGTGGTCACAGGGCCTTGCTGTTACAAGGAAGACATGTTTCAGACAATTCTCGTGTGTATGGGCAAAAACCTTGAGGACTGTATTTGTGACTAACTGTAACAGGTTATTTTAGTTTCGGTTCTGAGGAAAGTATAAAGCACTTGAAAACAAAAGGGTTTTAATGTAATTTTTTTTAACTCATGCTGTTGATTGCTAAATTAACAGCCTGATCATGATGCTGAATAAATACCTTTTTTAAAATGTACTGTGTAAAGTTTGTCTACACTGAAGCCATCTTGATAAGTAATTCAAACAGTATGGAAGTTTAGAATTCCTTCAGGGTAATGTTAGGCTTCATTTAATATTTACAACGTTTGAAGTTTGGTTGGGGACAGAGAAGCCAGAAACTTTAGTGTAGCGGAACTGACAGTTAATGTGTTGTGACCTAGAGTTCACCATTAAAACGGCGCCCCAAGCAGAGGTAAAAGCATTTATTTGTTTATAAATATGATTGTTGGCACATCCTATGCAATATATCTAAATTGAGTAAAAACTGAGTACCAGATAAAATTATAGATGGGATTTAAATTTATGTATCATCCATAATCAATAATAATATAGTGGAAAAACCTCACAAAAAACTGCTTGGAACTTGACACAAGAAACAGAGCTAAGGAGTCAAGAAGCCACTGGACTCAAAGAGAAGGCAGGGCTGGGGCCACAGCTGAGCCGACAATCTCATGCTGGAGCTGTGGCTCTTTGAGTCTTTTGCTGCTGACCAGCCTCAGGGAAAGGAAGACAGCAAACTGTACCCTGCAACTAAAGCGCTACCCTGCAACTAAAGAGCTCTGCATAAACGCCAGGGAGGTCTTACTGCTCCAGGCTTTTAATAAAGTCACCACACTGAGGTTTCAGCAATGGCTTAGTATGAACAGCCCTGCTGTGGTCATCACGGCACCAAGTGTTGCTCTTACTTTACTAAGATGCATCCTGACTTGGTGTCAGCCCTTCCGTCTGGGAGAAGCCCTCTCTACTGCTGCCCAGACCTCTTCCCCACAACCACTGAGCCAACACCCTTCCTTTCCCTGGGGCTGGTGGAGAAACTGCAGAGCTCAAGAATAAATACTTGGACTCAGGGCCAGAGGCACAGCAACCAGCAGACAGACACCCCATCCCTCCAAGTGACTGTGTTCAAGCCCAGGAAAGGCAGGGCTGACAAATACCTTAAATGCAAGTAGGATGCTTGGTCCTTTCCTTTTCTTCCATGCTCAACATGTCCCAAGGCCCTCACTGCTATGCCTCCCTCAGCAAGCAGGACAAGCCCTCAGGGATCCAGTGCACCCCACTCCTACCCAAGGGTTTGGATAGGCAGGTACCCCAGGAGGGGCTGACTCAACCAGCCAGATCCTTGTACACAACCCCTGGGCCAAGGATCCTGGGAGTCGTCACCAGGCACTCCCACTGAGGTGCTGTGAATCAAGCGGGGCTCAGGTTCAGTCCTCAAGTTGTCCAAGCCCACATCTGCTGCTTTGTGGCCTTGGTCCCTGATAGAAACTTCTCACCTCCCTCAAGGGTATGATGAGGTGGCATGCATCTTCCTCCTTGCTGGCGAAGCAGATGTAGTTGTTGGAGATGAACATCTGGCCGGGGATGTGCAGCTTATTGAAGGGTGTCCACAAAGTGCAGCCCGTGTGGCCATCCAAGCGCTCATCCCTGGGCAGTCGGAAGGTGGCCCGGTAGCATTCATTCTTGGCACGGGCATCCAAGTCTCTGAGGTGTGAAAATACAGAAGCAAGAATCAAGGCCAGCATTCATGTGTGGGGGCCCCCAAGATCTCACTTGGCTCCAATTTCTTCCTCTCTATAATGTAGGATGGAATTGGGTTCTCGTGAGCAATACCTGGCCAGGGACCTCAGAGTCCAATAAAATGTCCCTGAAATAACCAAGGTATGCAAGGGCTATTTATATGCCAAGTTGAGAAGTGGTTAGCAAGTGACATGCCCTTGGGACTCGACATATTTGACAGAAGACCCAGCAGTGATGCCAGGCAGAGGCCAGCAGTCCTTGAACCTGGCCCTGCTCAGAATAAGGACACCAAGCTGGACTTCCTAGTCCCAATACTGCTTCTTTACACTGGGGAAAGACCAACAGCACATCCCATAGGCAAGAATCTCCAAGCAGAGTTTAAATAGAAACAGGCAGTGACTGTCACTTAATTAAAAAAAAAAAGTATCAGTGCTTGTGGGTGCAGTGGCTGTAAGGAGGCAGCTCCAAGTCCTGGTCCTTGCCCCTTGGGAAACTATCCATAAAAACTCTATATACAGCCCACAAAGGGCCCCCTTCCTACTTTGGGATGTCACAGTCTGACTCAGAGTGCCCAGTGACTTAATACAGGTAATGATGCCAGAGATTTGAAACATTCCAGCCCTGCTAAAGGTCTTGAAATTGACAAAAGTCCTTGGTCAACAGTGCAGTCCAAAGGCACACCTCAGAACCTAGGGTCTCAACTACACTATGTCCTGGCCTGGAACAACCAGGCTGAACTCTTGTACAGGGTTCCTGTAACTCTACAACTTGTGTGCTCAAGCAAGAGTGCTCGAGTGCTCTGAGGGGCCAGCAACTGTCATGTTCTTCTGCTTGTCCATCCTCAGTCAGGCTGAGGTGGTCCTGCTGCATCAGTTCATAAGACTTTCCCTGCCATCAAAGCTTCTTAGGACCTGGCACAAGAAATGGAACTAAGGAGTCAAGAGGTCACTGTGTCAAAAAAGAAGGCAGGGCCCTTCATACAGCCCGTCTTCCCAGTCTGGTGTGAAGGAAAACTCAGGCCTGGCCTCCCCAGCTATAAGGAGTCCTCAGGCCAAGGGAGCCCCAAGCATGGCGATCAGTTACAACAGGATAGAGGATGTGCACATTGAACCCTGAGGGTCTCCGAGCATCTGTGGGCACCCTGACCCACACGGTAGGAAAAGCTCTGGAGCCAGCTTCCTGGTTCACGTACCAGTGGTACCACTGAGTCGCTGAGTGACCTCAGGCAAGTTACTTAAGCTCTCATGCCCCAGATTCCTCAGCTGAGACCTTCATAGTAAGAGCACCCATTCATGGTAGGGTGGCAAGTCAGACAATACCAAGTTCATGTCAGTGGCTACTTTATGACGGACACTACTAGTCTTTCTTGGCATCCTCCTCATGCTATACTGCAATGATCCACTCACCTGCCCTTCCTCCAAGAGGGGAATCTGTGAGGGGTGAGGACTTTGGATCATGTTCTACGTGTCTCTATCTGGTCCCGGGCTGGGCACCATGCAGGACCAATGAATCTTGCCCAGGTGACCCTGCCCACACATGGGAGGCCCTCTTGCCCCAGGGGCAACACACCTCTTTAGAACTGAAATGTTTCTGTGTGGCCGGACGGGCCTGGGCAAGGCCTTGTCCTCTCGGAAGCCTTCGCTGTCGAGCAGCTGCCGCATGGCCAGGTTGGCCAGCTGCTCCATAAGCTTGAAAGTCTCGCCGATATTTAGGAACATGGAGAAGAAGAGCTCCTGGTCCCGGGTATCCACACGGATGCTCTCAGGAAACAGCAGGGTGGCATTCTTCTCCAGCCGAGTGACATCCACCCACTGGACCACAAGGCTCACTGCACAGACAGGCGACATAACACTAGTTACCATGGGCAGAGGGCTCCACTGGGACAGCCGAACAAGCATTCTGTGGAGGGAATGCCCGCCAGGTCTCCTCTGCATCCCAGCCCAGTGAGTGAACAAACAGTGGAATGAGTGCAGGTACTGAGATGAACCAGAGAAGATCCTGGCCCTGAGAAATCTAAGTCATAATAGGGCATGACCCCCTCAACGAGGACACCACTGCCTAGATCAGGAGAAGCTTCCATAGACCCAGGCGGGGAACTGATATGCAGGTCTTTATCAGTGGATAGCATGGTGCCAGGTGAAGAGGGCGAGAGTAGGTGGAGGGAGGCAGTACACTGAGATGGGAAATGGTAACTACTTGAGACAGCCAAAGCCTGGAGTGCATTTCTGGGGCAACCCCAGCAGGACGGAGCTGACAGGCCAGGAGACCGAGATGCATCCTGAAGCCAGTTTCCCAGAGGAAGGAGACTGCCAGAGCACAGGGACAAGGCAGAGGGCCACTGGAGATCATACATGAAATATATGTCCTCTAATACAGCAACTTAAGAAAAAAAGGTGGGGCTTTAAACACAACTATATGCAAAGCACCATCCTAGTGGGCTGCACACATGACAGAAGCCCAGGGGCACCATGTTCAATTTTGTGTGTTCCAACTGTGGGCTGCTGAGGGGAAAATATTTGGCAGCTGTGTGGGGACTGAGAGGAAGGCAGATTCTAGCATCTTCTGGAGGCGAGGCCCAGGGATGAGGAGCATGGCAAGGTGGGGTGTGGGGGTCAGATGGACAGAGGAGGAGCCTGCACCATGATCTGGTCCAGTGCCTGCTGCCCACCCGATGCCAGCCCAGGGAGCTTGCCTTCCTTCCCCAGCAGGAAGGAGTAGAAGCACAGGTGGTTGACAGTGAGGTAGAGCCAGCCCTGCCGCGGCACGCGGCCCTTCCAGTAGCTGCAGGAATAGTAGTTGACCAGCTTCTCCCCCTCAGGCATCCCAAACTGCTTTCGCATCTTTAGCTCGGCTTCCTTGAATTTCCCAGGGTCCTCATCTCCTTGAGGTTGCAAGTTCTTGTTTTCCTCGGCAATGATACCCTGGAGGAGATAAGAAGAAAGTTTGGCACATGCTTTGAAGTCGACTAAGAGTTCCCATGGCAGAGATGGCTGATGAGAGGGAGGATGAAGGAGTGGGACGGTGGGTGGGATCTAGGTTCTTTGGGCTACAATCTCAGGGGAATGAGAAGAGGTGGGCATATAACGGGCTGATTCAGGGGACAAAGAAGGACTACTTGGTCTGTTTCGTGGTCAAGACACATAGACAAATGAATGAATCAACAGATACGCTCTGCCTGTGCAACCTGGCAAGTTCCTCCAGCTCCCTCAACTCCTATCCTCTTTAGGATGTCGCAAGCATCTGCCTCTCAGAGGGCCCGGCCTAGCTGACTGCATACTTTGTCATGCTTTTGAAAATGATCTGGAAGAAACGGGGGAAAAAAACCCCAACACAAACCCAACCCAGCAAAAAGATTAAATGACCATACAGAGAGAACTGACATGGATGAATCATGATAAAGGACATATACTATCTGATCTCACTTTCATGAAACATTTAGACTAGGCAACGGCTCTTTGACGACTAATAATCAAAAGGCACAGGGCTAGTGGAGAAAGGACGGGCAGTTAAGGGGCACTGAGTTTCTGTTTAAACAAATGAACAGGGAAACCCCACTGCCATAGAACCATTTCAAATCATGGTGACCCTCCTTCACGTCTCCCAGGCTGTAAAAATCATTACAGAGCAAACAACCATCTTTCTCCTGTGGAGCTGCTAGGAGATTTGAACTTCTAACCTTTTGGTTAGTAGCCCAACATGTAATGTACTATGCCAGCAGAACTACTTGGGTTTCTGTTTAGGGTGAGATAAACAATAAAAAATGACGAATGTTGATGCTTATACAACATGGTCAATATCATTAATGTAACCACAATTGCATACCTAAAAATGGCAAATGTTTTGTGATTAAATGAATCACAGTAAAAAGGGTTTTTGTGTGGTGTTTTTTTTTTTTAAGTCATTGGGGTTCTTATAAGAGAGAGATAGGAGAATCAGAGTCAGAGAAGGGAATGTTACCACAGAAGGAGATCAAGAGAAAGAAACTGACTGAGTTGAAGATCTTATGCTGCTGGCCTTGAAGACAAAGAAAGAGATCATATGTCAGAGTATAAAGATGGTCTTTAAAAGCAAAAAAGGAGAAAGAAATGAATTCTCTTCTGGAGCCTCCAGAAAGAATCAGCCATGTTGACAAATTAATTTTAGTTCAGTGAGAGCCATTTAAAATATCAGATCTTCAAGTGTAAAAGAATAAATAAATTTGTGGTGTTTGAAGTAAATTAAGTTTGTGGTAATTTGTTACAGGAGCAGAAAAGAAATAGTACATATTATTGGCAAAATGTCATTTTGATAAATTTTTAATTTTTTAAAGAAATCCTGCATTTTTAATAGATTTCTTTTATATCCAATATTTTTTACTTTAACAATAGATTTTAAAATAATTTTTATGTGATAAATTTCCAACACTGTTTAAGTCTCATTTCTCTTGATCACTTTTGCCACAAATCTGCTTATATAATTTGTCTTTCTGGATTTGTACAACATTTCTATTGTTTTCCACAGAGTCACTTTCTGCCCTCTATTACTTCTCCTTTCTAAATTCTTCGTTTCTCTGTAGATATTCCAAGTTACTGAATTGGATACTTTCTTGGAGTACTATTTTTCACTTTTCCCTTTTTTAATAAAACAAGGTTTAAGGTTTTAAATTCTCCTCTATGCACTGCTTCTGCTGCATCCTACAAATTTTGACATGTAGTTGTACTTCAATTACCATTCGGTTCAGAATATTCTCTAATTACCATTTCTCTTCTGATCCTGAGTCACTGAGAACTGTATTCTTTTGCTGACAAGTTTGCCTGGGTCTGGCATACAGGAGACAGTCAACACTATCATTCTACAGTAACTATTATTGCTCAACTTGCTCAAAGAGCAGATGCTTACTTCTACCTTCCTTGCCTGTATTTTTGGCACTAGGTCCACAAGTCAATAGAGAAGAGCAGAGACTTTTTTACACCTTCTGCTCATTTACAAAGTTCTGGTATAATGAATTCACAAGACCTGCCCAAAGCAGCATTGTACTATGTAACTGATCCTCTCAAGAATCTAATCTAAGGCAATAATCTAGCAGAAAGAAAGAGAAACACACAACCACTCTGATAAATGGTGACTGCAGTGATAATTAGCTTTAAAAGAGGAAACAACCCAAGTATCACAGTTAATTTCTACACAGTGCACTAGCTGTCATAATCATTATTTTGATGGCTTTAAAATAATTCCAATAAACACCATATCTGGGATATAAAGAGCTCATTAGCTAAGTACACAGAACCCAAAAGCCCAAACCAGATGCTGCTGAGTCGGTTTTAACTCTTAGCTTCCCCATGTGTGCCAGAGCAGAACTGGGCTCCACAGAGCATCCAATGGCTGATTTTATTTCTTTTTAATAAGGAGCTCACCAGCCCTTTTCTTCTAAGATCCGTCTAGTTGGATGCAAATGTCTGGGTACACTGATTATTTATACCACTCAGGGACTTCAGGAATATAGAAAGCAAATCAAGAACTGTTAGGAAGTATTAGTACTTTTGTTTTGCCCTCTTACCATGTGACGGAGGCTCTGCTTTGACTTTTTGCTAATACAGTGCTGCATGCATTTGCTACATGCCATTCTGCACACACCACTCTGCTGTATAGTAAATTCCAAGGAACAGAATTGCTGGGTCAAAGGACATGTACGTTTAAAATGAATATTAGTTTTAGAATATACTCCAAAATATTCTATCCTTTCCAGCTTCCCTCTCTATTAGTCAAAGCACTGCCAGGTAAGAGTTGGTTATCTGCGTATACGTTCTAGGACATTTTACAAAGAATAGAAACTTTAAGCTAAGCTTTGGCCAGACTACAGTGGTAAGCTGTGCTAAGAAGAGAACTTCATGGGCAGAAGACAGCTGTCTCCCAGCTTCTGCTGAACATTTCCATGAATGGGAACTCACCTCAGTTTCCACTTCTGTAAAATGGGAGAGAACTCTACACCATGGCTGTTTTTAAGATTAAATAAGAAGACATGTGTGAACCTCACCAGAGAAGAAGCATCATCCCTGTGAGCTGGGTGGGAATCTTACATGTATCTTGCCCTTGACGAAAGTGGTGATATCTTCTTCATTGTCAAAGATGGACAGTGTCTGGAGCAAGTTATTTTCCAGCCATTCCCAGTGTTTCGTGATCTCTTTGCGGGAGGAACCTGAGAGGTTCGGTGAAGCAGAGAGAAGAAAAACCACACAATTATCAAGCTTCAGATATAAATTCAAAGAAACCAAAACCACTGCCAACGATTTTATTTCAACTCATAGCAACGTTCTAGGAAAGAGCAGAAACATCCCCATAGAGTCTCCAAGGCTTTACACAGCAGATTGCCTCAGATCTGAGCGGCTGGTGGATTCAAACTGCCAATCAACTGGTTGGTGGATTCAACTGGTTGGCTTACTCCACTGTGCTACCGGGGCTTCTCAAATTCAAAGAATAAAAAAATAAAATAGGCCATCTAATCTACTATTTTCATGTGCCTAGTATCTTCAAGTTACCAATTATTTTTCTTCTGAAATGTGGTATGTATCAGGAAAAAATAAGTGGTAAAAAAAAAAAAAAAGGTTAAATCCAGTACAAATTGCAGAGAATCACCAGAAAAGCAAAGCTTCCATTGCTCCCTAGACCCGTGAGCACAAGCTTTCCTTATATTTCTCTGTGCCACTCCAGAAAGAATTCATGCACCTGCAAGTTGTTTACTTATATAGATTTTTCTTCAAGATGAAAGACTATCTGTACTTGCTCAGAAATTAGACAGGGATTATGTGGTCTGGCCCTCTTCTGAGCACTCTGGTATCCAGGATGCCAGCTGGAGCTTCCTGCAGGACTCCAGGACCTTGATGCTGGCTTCCTGCTGGGCAGGGAGGTAGCTATCATCCACCCCTGAAATCAGCTGCACTCACTAAAGGCTCCGCCCGCAATGTTTCCCCCAATTTCCTGGCTTCAATCCCAGCCTGCTCCTGCCCCTGCCCCCTCTGGAAACCCTTGACTGACTCCTTCAGCCTCTCCTGCATGGTGCTCTCCTCACATGTCTGTCCCACATAGTGGCGATTCCTGTCAACATTAGGGAGGGGCCCTGTGAACATGAAGACTGTGAGAACACAGCAGAGTACCATTTCCAAATAAAGTGGCCATCTTCTCTCTTCTCATTCAAGAATCGGGAAAAGATCTTGTGGCAGGAAGCAAAATGATTAAAGGTGTTCTCTGCCAGAGCTGGCTTCCCCCTGACACACCATGGCATTTTGAATATGGATAGCAGGGGTTCTGCAGACAAGAACAGTTTACGGAATGAGTGAGAAAAGGAATGGTACTCTGCATCCTTCTTCAGCCGTCCTGGGGGGCGGGGAGGAAGTCTATCATTGGAGTGCCCAGCAAGCTAACTTGTTCATGAGAAAGCTGGTAAGGCCATGACACTTGGTTTGGAGGGAGGCTTTGCAGAGGAGGAAGCCCACAAGACTGCTACATGCAGACCTATTTGGTGGGGACCTGACTTTCCACCTCTCCATTCTGCTGGTGACTTGGCCCAGGTGCCGTTCAGATCGTCCAGCCAGACACACTGATCTCCAGCCCTGACCACTGTCCTGATGCTGAGTGCCACTCTGATGCCAGCTGGGCCTGGTTTGGTCCTATCATCTCTGCTGGCCTCAGTTTCTGTTCACATCTCTGTACAGCTTCTTGGCATTTTCTACTTTAACTTGGCTCAAGTGGCTCACTACCCTAACAAAAAAATAATTCCACAGGAAGCTCCTCCTCTGGCCAAGGAGAAGATGCCCACATGAAAACTATTCAACCCTGACTCACAAACAAGTTAGTGAATAACAACTCCCAATTAAGACCATCCTTGAAAACCCCTTAAAACATCCATTAATTTTCCTTCTATTTTTTCAATTTCTTTCGCATTTCTACCTAGGTCTTCTTTCCCTGGTGCCTGAGGCTGTGGTTGGCAAGGGAAAAATTTCTCTCTCTGACAAGAACCTATGTCTGAATTTGGAAGTTAAATGTATTGCAACTCTGTTTCATTTTTTTGTACACACACATTCCTGGCAAGCCTAAAGACAGGAATCTTGCCCACACTGTTTGTGTGGGTCTGTCTGCACTGCAACTGTAAACAAGCTGCTCCATGGAACAAAGAAGGGCAATCAATTCCCAGGTGATTTACTACCTCTGAAAACCTGCTGGAGGGTCATCTATGGGTCGGTTGTGATTCAATAGTACACAACAACAACAACAACAACATCACCCCCCTGTGGTCATCACCTTTCAAGGATTATTTCATGGTGCTGAGGCCAAGTTTCAGTAATTTGCCCAATATCACACAGGTAAAAGTGACCAACTCACAAGTGCTACCCTGGGTGTCCAGCTGCAGAGACCATCCTTGTCCTCTTCCTATCTAATGTGAGACACAAAAAGACTTTAGGATAAAAGTGCTGGCAGAGACACAAACCCTAGGGCCGCTGGAAGGCTGGGTGTGGGTTGAAGGCATCTAGGAAGGCTTTCCACAGGAAGTGTCTTCAGGTAGTGTAGAGAACAGAGGGTAAGTCAGGAGGATGAGCACAGTTTTCATGCCCTGGGACCCTCAGCAAGCACACTAGACAAGAGGGTGTGGCTTGGAAATGCACACCCTGCAGATGGTCTGACTAATGCCAGGGTACGACGTGGAGTAACCAGGTCAGACATGGAGGAAGGGCTGGGCTTCTCAAAGTCCTTAAATGCCAAACTTAAGAGTGTAGGATTGACTGGGCAGTTGCCAGTGGGTGCGAGTCTGGGTTCTGGAGAGCTGCAGCTAGAGCCCAGCTAAGGGAGGGAGACCCGAGCAGTGAAGGGAGACATGAACCAGCAGCAGTGCTGTGCATCCCGGAGAAATGAAAGGTTTGCATGAGAACTGAACAGCAAAAGATATTTCCTGGTGTGGTTGGACCTCTCGCCTGGCACCAGGCCTGCTGCTGTCAGAGGGAATCCCTAAGGAACAACACTCACTCTTCTCTCCGATGGAAAGATTGTCTTACTGCCACTTTCCCTTGCCCATCTGCTTCCCACAGACACCTACGTGCCAGCTGCAGAGACAGTTTTAGAGTGCAGTGTCTCACTGCCGTTGGGCATACACCAATCACTCACCCCCACTCAGGAGGGCTGCCTCCCTTCTGGGCTTTCCCTGCCCCTGCCTTCAACAAGAGGGCCCCAGCCTCCCTGGCACACTACTCCAATTCTGGAACTAGCAGATCTGGGCCCTTCCAGGCTTGGCCTCAGGCGAATGCACTCAGTGTTCCCACGAGAATGGCAGATATGGTGAGCCTGTCTGGCCAGCCCTGAGCAGGATGCCCCTTGGCCGGTTGAGGGCATCCCTAAGTTGCTGCTACCCTATGTTTTACACAAGTCCCTTGAGCCCTCCTGGAGCTGGGGATCAGCTTTAAGCTCTACTACCACTGTTTGAATGTTGTGACCTCTTCCAGGACCCAAGGCAAACCATTCATTTGGAGGCCACTGCCACAGGCACAGTTACAGCATAGAGGTAACAAGCAGGTGTTGAGGCTGGTGTCCAGGTGGTCTGGACTCCAGCTGTCTGTTCTTGGGCAGTTCAGTAAACCCTCTGTACCACTTTCTTCATTTTCAAAATAGGGAAATGCCACCTTCTGGAGTTGCTGGGAGGTTTATCCAAGTGGCTGGCATATAGGAAATGCTGCCTGTGGAGGCTATTAGTGCTATTTTATCAGAGCACCCTGAACATGGCTGGTGCTCACCAAAAGGGAATGTTTTTCTTGACTCTCAGGAAGGGTGCGTGCACTTTCTCTTAGCAAGGTAACTATCTACCTTAAGGAAATGTGGGCACAAGAATTTGCCCACTGCAGAAAACTCAGGGGAGCACTCAAGAAGGCATGGGAGACTCTGGAACTTTCTTTCCTCCATTTGCCCTGTACTGGTGAATACCAGAGACGCCCACTTAGGTTGGAAACAATGGTTCCTCCCATTCCCCTCATGTGGGTGTGAGCTGTGCCATTTCAATGGGCATAAGCCAGAGTGGCACAGGTTCTCAGTAAGCGACCCCAGCCGGTGATGGTTCCCTTCCATGTGCTCACATCATCTGGCCTCATCAGAGACTAAAGCACCTACCACAAGCCACAGTCCAGTAGACCTGTGAGTCCTGGGTCTGGTGCAGGATGCGGTACGGGGCCACTCGAGCGCTGGAGTCCAAGACCACGTCCAGGGTGCCAACCAGCAGACCTAGAGGAAGGCGGAGAGATGGGGCAGGTGAGCTCAGTTGGCACCCAGATGAAGCAGGTCTCTGACTTGGTGCACTGCCCGAACATCTACCCAGGACAGACATCCTGTATACAGCCAAATGACTTCACTTAGAAAGACCTGGAGGCAAGGGAAAATCCAGGGACTCATCTCACAATTTAAAGAAGTTTGAGAGGCTTTTTTTTGCGAATTTAAGACAAAACTAGTGTTAAAAACAAGTATTTCTTTGGAATGGGAATGTGTATCAAATTAAAAATTAAAGAATACAAGAAACATCACAAAAAAAAACCCCAGGGAAAAAAACCAGTATTTTTTATTAATGACAAGATAAGGCTCTTAAAATTCATTCTGATCATCTATTTTACTGGAAGTTTAGGGAGGTATCTTTCAAAAGTCACAGATGCCAGGTACATTTTTGAGAATATGATATCTGTGAAGATACTGATATAGTTTTGGTTTTTTTTTTTTCATTTCTGAGCTGAAGTGTTTTAGGGCATTACAAATTTTCCTTCTCCTCACACATACCCTTTGGACTGATGCTGCACTGAACAGACTGTGATGGTTAAGTACTGTATAAAGTCAGTTCTGATTTAAAACGGCCCTATGTGTAAGAGGCTGGTCCTGCGTCATCCTCACAATTGTTACGTCTGTGTCCACTGCTGCAGTAACTGTTTTAAATCATCTTGTTGAGGGTCTTTCACTTTATTGCTGACTCTTTATTAAGCATGACATCCTTCTCTAGGGTCTGGTCCTTCTTGATAACACGTCCAAAATATGTGTGATCAAGTCTCACCATTCTCCCTTCTAAGATGCATTCACGGTTTGCTTTTTAAAATTCTTTTCACCCTATCATCAATATTTTTTAATATCCAATATAATCAATGTTCAATGAAATCTTAAAAACATTTCTCTAAACTAGTGCTAAAATGGTATATTCTAACTCTATTAGCTTTCACAATAACTTTCAAAACGGTTTTAAGGTTTTTCCTAAGAATTTTATTGTAAAGTCCCTAAACTGCTAACATGTGCATGTTCCAAGATTTGGTAAGTTTTTTAATGGGTAGACCATCTTGCTATACTTAGACACTGGCATGAAATACAGAAGTTGTCCTGGGTCTTTAAAACACAAACTTGGATGAAACCAGAGAATCAAGTGTTCGCCTGTGAGGAGAGTGTTTAGGCTACAGGTTTATAAATGTGTAAGGAAGGTCAAACGGAGGGAGGTATCGTGAGACTACAGAAGGGGAGGGAAAGCGGGGCGTAGACCAGCACTCAAGGATGGCTCTAAGAGGATTCTGGGAGCTCTGTCTTGGGTGACACTGAGAGACAAATGAGGTGGGAAGGTAAAGAACAAAAGAGAGGGCTTCTCTCAACTAAGAAGGGTATGTTCAGAGGCATGGCCAAATCTGTGCATGTACCCAGGCATCCACTCAGATGACCTATGGAAGTGTGCTTAGTTCAAAACAAAGGATAGGGACTCCATACACTGGCCTAATGACATGCTGGGCTCTGACATAACATAAGGTACCATCCATTCAGTCACTGCTTCTACTTTCCAAACCAAGCCTGAAGCAGCTTCCAATGTTAGCCACTGGTCTCATTATAGGGATTGCTGTCTAATTGCCACTGAATAGCTTGGTCCAGGAGGCAGGCGTAGCATTGGTTCCATGACTGGCACAGGCCCAAATTGAGGGCAGAGCTCAGAGAACTGATAGGAACACTGAGTATCCCGAGAACAGTACAGCTTCTCCCACACTTAAGAGTGATGGAAAAGCTCACCACGAAAAAAGCTCCAAACGCATCCGGCAGGGTTACATTAGGTACTCACATTAAAATCAAGACAGATCACAGGAAATTCTCTTTATAAACTGGGTTTTGTTGGTCACTCTGGTCTCATATTTCTACATGGGAACAATCAGACACCCCAAAGAGTGGTAGTCCTTCCTCAAAAGAGTAATGTATCACTTTGGTCTGTCTGTATACTCCTCAGTCGGCCTTATGCGGAAGGGAGTGCCACAACTCAGATCTGAAATGATCCCATGCAAAGCCTTCAACCTCTCTGGGGCTGAGGTCATCTTTGAAAGCTAGGAGAATGGGAGCTGAAAGATTTTCTACAGAGACTGACAGGATGTTAGGAGTCCTGCTGCACTTCCTAGTGTCATGATCTCTCTGCGTTACTCCCCCAAGGCCAGTCTGGCCCTGAACTTTTGATCTCTGCACAGGGGCTTCTGGTAACATTGCTGAGGGAATGCTCCAAATTTCCTGGGTCCAACAGTCCCTATGCTGCACACCTCCAGGTCCAATGTTATCTTGTGCAAACGGTGCCCCCAAATAAGCAAAGGCCCTTGGAGCACCTGATGCTGGTGACTGGCAAGATCAATTCTGAAGCAGGAAAGGTTATGAGAAACTGGAAGAAGGGGGCCAGTTCAGGGACCTCGGGTCTTGCTTACAGGGCGATTTTTTTCGTGAGGTGGGAAAGAGGAAAGGGCAAAAGAAAACGTGTGCTTGTGCTACTTCATTCTCAGGGTTATGAGGGACAACAGACGTGGAGGGAGAGGACCGGGAGATCCTGCCGATTTACAACGATGAGGTCCCAGTCGAGGAGGCTCTGCAGCCCACTTCTCTTCGGTCAGGCACCCTGAAAGCCCCCGGGCGCCAAGTCTGGGCAAAGGCCGCTGCCAGCACCCGCGGGCCG